GCTTTGATTCATCGGCGCCCTCGATTTCTACCCTGTACCTCGATGAAAACGGTCACTAATTTTGGTGACGATTAATACGTTGCCTAGAGGCGAAGCTACAATTAGGGCCAACATGGGGGCCAACTATTATTGCCGCTCTCCCTTTCACGATGCAAAATGTGCGGTTGTCCGCAAATGCTGCACCGCCATTAAAAAGAAGAGTAACACATGAGTGAAAAACCTCATCCTCCACCTTTCTATGGCACTTAAGGGTGCGTAGCTAGAGTGATTATCGTCAGGGGACATAATTCATTTTTACTCCTCCCCCTCAACGTTGAAACTAAATATTTTCAACCATCCAATACCACCAAAGTCCATCTTGGTTACCCCTCTAATCTGACGCCCCAGAATGTACTTCACATCTGCCATTCGTTAGCTACGCCTCTGACTACTGGCAACTGACACTGCCCCCCTTCCCCCGAAAATCTGAAATGCCCCCCCCCCCTTTGGGTGGAAATGGCTGAAAGAAACACTGTTTGGGAATCTTACGTAATCGTTTTATTCTCTCCGTCAGAAGCCCATATTGAAGTTTACCCCAGAATGTACTTCACCTCTGCCATTCGTTAACTACGCCCCTGACTACTGGCAACTGACACTGCCCCCCTTCCCCCGAAAATCTGAAATGCCCCCCCCCCCCTTTGGGTGGAAATGGCTGAAAGAAACACTGTTTGGGAATCTTACGTAATCGTTTTATTCTCTCCGTCAGAAGCCCATATTGAAGTTTATAGAATAATCCATGCATGAATTCTTGGATAACTTTTCAGCAGAAGACAATTGACCTCCGCTAGTGTGATAAGGCAATGTTTGTGAATATGACGTCTCTGCTACCTGCAATCTCCGGCACGATACTGGAGAGCTACGTCTACTTCTGAGTATCACGTGGATAAGAAATGTGTTAGCAAACAAACGAATTCAGTGACATCTTATTTTTGGATGTGATCATTTCGATCAATTTTAAATTTCCGTTCATTGGTAATGTTCACAAAAGATGTCCTTTGAGATGTCAACGTGTGCAATGTAAAAGTTCTATTATCTCTCCCTTTAAAAATCTACGGTCAATGACGTTGTTAAATGTTTGCGTGTTAAAAATTCATTCGTGTCTAACCAGCTTTTGGTACAACTTTTCTCGGTAAAACCACAATCAAAACTTAATACCATAGTAAATGAAACTTTTTAGATTCGTTCCGGTTTCAAATATTGGAACAGACTGTTTAAAAAAAAATGTTTGTGTCCTTTCAGATTTAAATTAGTTTCATTTCTAAATCCTTTATATTAACTTTGCTGCTATTCATATGTTTATTTTTGGTAAAATATTCGGAAAGCTAGTTGACCAACTTTCCGTCATCATATCGAGCTGAAACTTGGCACATAGACTCGTTGCCGACGACAACACATTCTCTCAAATTTTCAGATCCCCCTCCCAACCCCTTCACAGCAACCCCCCCCCCCCCAAAAAAAAAATCACTTTTCCCTTATTTTCAATTAGAAGATTAAGGAAGTATGAATAATTGCAGCACTATAACGGATGAATACGAAAAACTTTCTTTAGTTGTTTTTTTAAAGCTAGTTTTAAATTTCTTTGTCAGACACAGATCTACAGCTAGCCATAGGACTATCTACAAGTATGGCTATTCTACTTCTTATTCTAGCTGTCGGGATAATTACTACTCTAAGGTAATTACAACACATGTCAAACTCCAATACTGTTATACAATTTTTCATCGCTTAATGGCTTTTCTATATTTTCAATATTAATTGGAAATATTTATTTAAAAAAACAGAGAGAGAAAGAAAGAGAGAGCGAGAGAGAGACAGAGAGAGAGACAGACAGACAGACAGACAGAGAGACGCATAAACACATAGAGAGATGAACAGAGCGAAACAGAGAAACACAGACAGAGAGAGGAAGAGAGTTAGAGAGACAGAGAGACCGACAGAGAAAGATTTTGCGTTAAACCCTTGGTAAAAGTCAAATCTCGATTCAATTATTAACACAGACTCCAACAACAGCGAAATTACGTTTTATTTACTTATCAAACCATCCGTTACAACGTTTAAAAACACTTCCTCCATTCGGTCTGCGCACATACACAATAGTTCCCCATGTAGGCACCACACACATTCATCCCCTTGTTCGCGAGTTCAAGGCTATACGTTACCACTCCATCCCCAGGCTACGCTACTCTCAGCGCAGAAAACAGCTGAACTGGTGGAGAATCAACCAGGAAGAGTTGCAACCGTTAAAGAACCACGTCACGAAATCAGCCTTTTCCTCTTTCCTAAGACAGGTCAGGTGTTATTGATGATGAAACTATTATATCTCCACAACACTGCAATATTGACATCCTTTATATCAGACCTGCACACCAGACGGCCCGCGGGATTTTTAATTATGATTTTCTTCATAGCTTTCCCCCTTTGTCCAATTTTCTTTCGGCCTGCATACGTTTTTCATAAAGTATTACGGCCCGCCTAACATTTTGAGTTGTGCAGGACTGCTTTATATTAACTTCGCTTTTGTTCATGTGTACCTTTCTTCCTTCCTTTCTTTCTTTCTTTCTTTCTTTGTGTCAAAAATCTTCGGAAGACTTACTGACCCACTTCTCGTCACCCTACCGTGCTGTGAAACCTGGCACTTAGTCTCCTTGCCGATGACAACACATTATATCAAATTTTCAGCTCCGACCCCCCCCCCAAAACCCACACAAAAGCGGATTTCTCCTGTTCTTCAACGGGGAAAATGGGACATATTAATAATTTGCTCAATGACTGCGTGTTTGGGTGTGGAGATTGATTCCGTTTGCTATTGATGTGTGCTTGGTATTTGTTTCGTATTTGGGGGTTAAATACATCTGTTGTCCATTTGGTTTTTACAAATGTCGCTAAGTTTGATAAAAACCATTCCCATACTACAAAAATCCCCAACAAATTATATAAATGCCAAAAAATATGAATATAAAGGATTTAAACGAAAAGAAAACTTTTTTTTTTTTTTTTTTTTTTAGGGTTTGTTTTTTTTTTTTTTAAATTTTTCACACATAACACAGCACGCTACTCACATTTGCGGCAGAATGTTTAATAAATTCTAAAATACAACAAAATCAACACAAAAAACTGAGAATCTGAACACAGCACGTGCGTGTTGGACTGATTTTTTTTTTTTAATATGACCAAGATGACGTGAAGAAAATTTTAAAAACAAGCACAAATATGACTTCAACGCTTAAGCGATCATCATTGCTCTTATAAACATAATTAATAATTTTTTTTTCTTTAATTATTATCATCATTTTTTGGACCAAAAAATGGTTAAATATATTTTTTTTTAAATCTGTCATGTGGTGCATTTATTGAAAGAATCAAAATCGACAAAAGTGTTCAGCATTTTATGGTCCAAGCTTAAAAAGTTCAGCTTTTTAACGACTCGTTACATTAGGAAACAAAACTGTGGACGAAGGACGGAAGAAATAAATCAAAAGTGTGACGACTTAATAGGATAACAATGCTTCACAAATAAACGTATCAACACCGCGTCACCGACTCGCTAATGAAGAATTGATCTGTCTCCCCAGAGTAACACCAACACAACGGATCTCAGTCTGTCCAACGCCACGCTCTGTATGTACAAGGTAGGACATTGACACCACCTTCGTGAAATTATCGTGTGTGTGTCTTTGGTAGATGGTTTGTTTGTTTCTAAAGGATTCTTATTGTTGCGAAACTTCTGCTTTTTCAATGTAAGAAATTAGCCTAGAATATTAAAACAATAAAAAATGTATTTTTTACTTATAATAATTGGGACATTAAAAAAAAAATCTCTTCTTGCTTGAAATTTGCTTGGTTCGACTTTTTTGGTCATCGGGCCCGGCCTGGGGGAGGGGGGGCAGTTCTAGATATTTTATATAATATGAGGGGTGCGGTCAATGTAAATGTCATATGATAATAGGGGGGGCGTGCTCAATGAATATGTTCTATAACGGTATAAAGGGTAAGGTTAGGTAAAATATGTCACCATTGTGTGACCCTTAATATGTTATGTGCATGGTATATTGACTTTACCGAGCATAAGTCGCAGGCCAAAGGTTTACTTCAGAGTGCAGAAACTGCACATTATTCTTCTTTTAAATTATGTTTTGTATAACTTTTTTGTTTAAGTGTTTTTTTTTAAGTGGTGGGGGATTGGCGGTTGGGGGGGGGGGGCGGGGGGTTGAACAACTCTGGGTAACTTATTTTCACGGGTAACAAAAAAATATTTTTTTTTAAAAATTATCCACAAAAAAAAAAAAATGTTGATAATTTTAATAGCGTAGACAGACCAATTTATCTCCAGCCGTCGAGTACCGTAATAATTTGACCAGTGATCGTTTCACTTGCCAGCAGATGAACCGGGGAGCACAGCTAATGGATGGCCTTTTGTCCTCCGGTCCGTTGATGGTACGCCGTTATAACCGTGTTTTAAAACCCTGCGTCGTCGTTGGCCGGTGTGAGCAGGGCCGATCCGTCAATTGACAAACGAGGCTGAACTAGTTGTAGTAACTGAATGGCCTTACAAAATGATTGAGTAGGGAGGTGGGGGCTGGGATGAGTGAACAGGCGTACTTTTAAATCGTATAAACATTTTCACCTTTTTTAAAAATTGTAAATAACTTTTTTTTTAAAGCATTTTTAAATTTGGGAAATTTTTAAATTTTAATTTTTTTTTTAAATTTAAAAACCTGTGATTTTCAGGTCAATTATCGTCTTCATGAGCATTCTTCTGATTTCATCTTTTGGAGCGTGCGTTTATAGGGCAACATTGAACACGTTTTCGCAGTCGTGTAAGACTGTGAGGTGTGTGTTCGGGCGGGGGGGGGGTATTGTGGTGGGTGGGGTTAAAGCGTTGCAGAAACCTAAGAGTAACTATGAATCACTGTCTTAAAATAGTGTATGTGCTTTTTGGTGACCCACTCACCCTTTCCCCACAGGGTAACGTGGTACGGCGTCACAGTCTGAAACAGGCGACGTTTCCTGTAAGTACCAGCCTGCTGAAGGAGTTTGATGAGGTAACAAATCTTTTCATCCTCTTTTTTTTGTTTTTCATTTATACATTTACATTTAATGACCAGAATCTACTAAAATTACCGTATCCGGAAATTCGTTTGAAAGAAATTTCGTCGACGGAAGTTTGGTCGAACGGAAATTTGATCGAAGTTTATTTTCAGTTCTCACGATCAAATTGTGCTTCAAATTTCTTTTTGAACGCACTCTCCTATATTTAAAACAAAATAATGCGTCCGACCAAACTTCCGTCGATAAATTTTCAAACAAATTTACGGGAACCAAAATTACGGTAGATGACGTCATTCTTTTAAGCTAAAAATTGAAGACAACGAAATTGTATTTTCAATTACGATTTTCTATGTTGTTGTTGTTGTTTTTTTTTTATATAGATTAATGTTTTTAACGATATTTTAACGTTAATGAGAATATCATGCTAATTACTATAGAATTGAAAACTTTGTTTGTAAGTTGTTGTTTTTTACGGTATACTTTGGAAAGATTTTGCTTTGTAAAGGAAACAAACTGTTTTAAAAATTTAATTGATATGACAAGGATTACATTTCTTGCCTTACATGAAAAAGAAGAGGAAAACCCGTGATTTATAGTGTAATCAAACGACTCTCTGCATTAGTTGAATGCTATCTTGCAGTAGCCACGTTGGTCTGCGCGATTAGGCAAAAGTGTGTGCTGATTTATCAAACTTAATGCAAGCTTCTAAGAAAAGGATTACTATTTGTTAGACACACGCACAATGCAGGTTTCGTCCGTCATACTGATTATGTAAATGTTTTGCTCAGATTCGCGACATCAGCCATCCTAACCTACTGCGCGTGGTGGGGGCCTGGCTCGAGGGAGACAAGAAAGTCATCATCACGGAACATTGTCCCAAAGGCTCTCTCCAGGTAAACGAATCGCCCGTTCTCACCTGATCTCACCTGTTCTCACCTGCTCGTAGATATGCACGCGCTCGTCACACATTCGTCACGACCGGATGTATGCGATTTAACAGAATCTCACGTGACCTTACATCACCTCGACTCTATCCATGTGACTTCTGCTTGTCTCACCTACATCCATCTTTACCGCCATGTAACACATTAGCAGTACGATATTATGCACACACTCGAGAGTACGGCTATTTTGGTGAATCAAAGCCTTTGGTCCTACCAGGTTTCCACTTGTTTTTTTGTTCTGATCAACATATCTCAATTTGCTGGTCACCATATCTCAATGATCTAGTCACAGTTTCTTTATACTCCAGTCAAAATATATCAATGTTCCAGTCACAATATCTCAATGGTCCAGTCACCATATCTAAATTTTCCGGTCACCATATCTAAATTTTCCAGTCACCATATCTAAATTTTTCAGTCACCATTTCTAAATTTTCCAGTCACCATATCTCAATGTTCCAGTCAACATATCTGAAATTTCCGGTCATCATATCTCAATTTTAAGGTTTCATATTTTATTTATTTATTTAGACTTTTTATATAGCGCTTACCTTAAAGCTCTAAGCGCCTTACAATGATTAAAAACATTTAAACTAAGTAAAATAAAAATGAAAAACCAGAGACACTAGGATAGTAACTACTATACTATAGAAAAAATTAAAATGGCTATAAAACGAGGACACTTTGGCACGTTTTGGCCTATACTACAGGATCAACTCGAGACAGAAAATGAGGCAGGGCAAGATGTGTGCATCACAGGTCATAGGCGGACCTAATCGGATGGGTTTTAAGGGACTTTTTGAAAGTGGACGAGGTTTCACAATGACGGATGTGGAAGGGGAGCTGGTTCCAGAACGTGGGCGCATGGACATCATATCTTAAAGTTTTGGCCACCCCATGTCAATGAGTAAAAATCCTTTCCTAATCTTTTTCAGGAAGTATTGATGGACGACACTTTCAAACTTGACAGTGTGTTCTCCCTGTCAATCCTCAGTGACATTGTCAAGGTATGTCATTAGCCTGTGTATTTGGGTCCATAATGTTGCCCCCCTTAATATACCGCATATCATTTACCACCTTATCCTTACCATATGCCACTTACCACCTTATCCCTACCACATACAACTTACCACCTTATCCCTACCCCATGCCACTTACCACCTTATCCTTACCACATACTACTTACCACCTTATCCCTACCACATACAACTTACCACCTTATCCCTACCACATACCACATGCTTCATGTGTTCACACTTCCGGCGACAACAATGGATATTTCTTGTGTGGTTTACTGTGCTCTGTTCTTTGTGATATCTTCATTTTTCCTGTGTGCTGAAGAAGGCTCTATGGCGAAACGTCCTAATCTTTTTGTCCTGTTCTCTAATTCAAGTTTCCACACAATTTGCCTTGCTATTTCACATACCACTATCACCTAATCCTTGCCACATACCACTTTCACCCAACCACACACCACTTTGCACTTTATCCCTACCCCATTCCACCTTAATCCAACCAAATATTACTTACCGCCTTAACCCAACCACATGCCTCATACCACCTTATCCCTATCCCATACATCAGAGTTAAGACTAACACAGTTTTTTTACTAACTCAAAACAACTCAATGTTACCTCGCATAACACCGGCTTCTGTTCACCTTTCTTCACGCGAAGGCCATCACCTACATCCACAAACATCCCATCCGTGTCCATGGGCGTCTCACAAGTGAGGTCTGCATGATTGATTCCCGTTTCTCCGTCAAGGTCGGACACTACGGCCTCCCTACCATATACGACACTGTCAAACTGGAAGGCAAAGAGCCGAGCTCGGAGAAAGGTCAGGCTGAATTAAAACACAATTTATTCAGATTTTCCAACGTGAATTTGAAATATGACCTGAGATTTAAGTATATATTGTTTGCTAAGTCTCAATCACATTAGACTAAAATTGTGATGTTAATATAACTTTGTCTGGTAGTCTTAAATTCTGCTTAATTCCTAGTAGCAGTTACATTATATATAGTATAAGGTGGGCTGCGTCCAAGCCGGGGGAAGTAAATAAATTAGTAGAACAATATATGTTTAGGCTTAGAAAAAAAAGGCCCAACAATTTAAAAGAAGTTTCGCCAAAACGCCTTCTTAAGCAGACAATACTAAACAAGAAATCAAATTATTTTAAATTTGAAAAACTTAAGCGTTCTCAGATCGCAATGCAGCTTTCCCAGTCCCTGTGTAGTAAACATTACGCATCTGTGTCATTTTTTTCACGTGGTGTCTTTTTGTGTGTTGTTTTTAACCTTTTTAACAAATGTTTACACGTGCAAGACAATTTCTGGGTTGCGCCCGAGCGACTGAGATACGGAGGAAGTGCCACCCAAGAGGGGGACGTCTATAGTCTGGCGATCATCATCTCTGAGATCTTGACAAGGGAGGAGCCGTACAGCCATGATAATGATTTTCTAACAACACAGGGTAAAAAAATATTTTAAAAAATCTAACGTTTATCAGCTCTTGAACAATTGTACGCCCCAAAAAAAGTGTCATTATTGCTTGAAATGATACGACATTGGGGGATTCTGGAAACATCTTTTTACCGTGTACACAGGATGTACAAACACAGTCATAACACTACAAACTTCTATGAAACGTGAAAATCCTTTAAGAAAATGTAAATTTCAAATGGAAAACTGACGTCATGGTGGGTTGTTGTTGTTTTTTCCGTACAATTTCAGAGGTGTTGGATAAGATTGTTCTGGAGCAGGATCCCCCGTTCCGCCCTGCTGTGACAGCACCCCCAGATCTGATACCGCTGGAGGCGCTTATGAAGCAGTGCTGGGATCAAGTCCCACAGAAGAGGCCTTCACTGAGTAAGATCTCTGGCGTTCTACAAGGGTTAATGATGTAAGCGATGTTTTAGGATGTAGAGGAAGTCATTATACGTCTGTCTCTCTCTCTCTCTTTCTCTCTCTCTCTCTCTCTCTCTCTCTCTCTCTCTCTCTCTCTCTCTCTCTCTCTCTCTCTCTCTCTCTCTCTCTCTCTCTCTCTCTCTCTCTCTCTCTCTCTCTTTCTCTAATCTATCTCTCTCTTTCTATCACTTTCTCTGTCTTCCTCTCTTTTTCTGTTGATCATGCCGTCGGTCCGCCTCATTCACTTTCTCCTTGTAAAACATGTTTTCGAAATTATATCTCACCCAATCTCCTTTTATATTAATATTGTTTTAAATGCCACGTTTCCGTTTAAAGGAAAATCAACAAGTCTGGCAGTCTGCTGGACAACCTGCTCCAGAGGTTAGAAAAGTACAGCAGCAACTTGGAGAAAATTGTGGACGAGAAAGTGGATGAACTCAAACAGGAGAAACAGAAATCTGAGGAGCTGCTCAGACAAATGTTGCCCATGTAGGTGATTAAATAGCATGATGTCTTCTCAGACAAATGTTGCCCATGTAAGTGTTTAAATAGCATGATGTCTGGTCGGAAAAACTTTGCCCATGTAATTGTTTAAATAGCATGATGTCTGGTCGGAAAAACTTTGCCCATGTAAGTGTTTAAATAGCATGATGTCTGGTCGGAAAAACTTTGCTCATGTAAGTGTTTAAATAGCATGATGTCTGGTCGGAAAAACTTTGCTCATGTAAGTGTTTAAATAGCATGATGTCTGGTCGGAAAAACTTTGCTCATGTAAGTGTTTAAATAGCATGATGTCTGGTCGGAAAAACTTTGGTCATGTAAGTGTTTAAATAGCATGATGTCTGGTCGGAAAAACTTTGCTCATGTAAGTGTTAAAATATCATTGTGTCTGGTTTTACAAATATTGCCCACGTAAGCGTTAAAACAGCCCGTTGCCTACTCAGAAAAAATGCTGTGCATCTGTTTGAATAAGTAAACTGTGACACGAAAATGTTGGCGCGGACATGGCCTTGAAACAAGTGAAACTTTCCTTATATACGTTTTAAATTACTTGTCCCATTGGTTTTTTTCTTTAAAGATCACGTAATTTACATTACTTAGTTTACATGTTTTTTAATAATTGTAAAGTGCTTAGAGCTTTAAGGTAAGCGCTATATAAAACTGCCTAAATAAATAAATTATTTCATCCCGGTCAGTTTAGAATGTGTGCAGCGTTAATGGGAGACAAGTAATGTCCTTAACGTTTCTCGTGCATGATATACAGAGTTTTAGGCCTTAGAGGACTGGCCCATTTTGTTTTAATTTAAAAAAAGAAGAGAAAAATAATGTTGGAGAGTGAACAAAGGCCGTTGATTGTATATCAGGATTTTGTGAAAAAATAGTTTCAAGTAAAAGAAGATTATATTATGGAGACGAATGGAGGCGCCATCTGAGGTGCCACAACGGTCCAAGGACTAATGGACATGATGATGATGATTATGGAAGAAAAATAGGAATTGAGATTTGTGAGATATAATTCGAAGTATCTTCATATTTTTCTGTGACAAATATTCATAATTGTTGATATTGTGAATCAGCCCCTTCAGTATCTTACATATGCTGATGACATAGCGCTTTTAGTTAAACATAGTAAAGACATATCACCTGATGACATAGCACTGTTAGGAAAAAATAGTATAGACAAATTAAAAGCCTTTATTAAATTAGAATACACGTTACTACAAGCAGGCTGGAAGTCAACAACCAAAAAAAATAAAAAAAATACATGACTTTGATAAGAGAAGAACAGACAGGTGAAACCATTCAAATGTGAAGCTAAACTTTTGAAAAAGTAAATCAATTCAAATACCTAGAATCTTTATTAAATGTACGAAACGAAATGCTAACAGAAATTTAAAAAAACAGAATATCAGCTGGGAACATGTCATACTTCAGTAGTCAGAAAATACTCAAAAGTAAAAACATTACAAGAGAAACAAAGAAAACTATTAATAAAACTGTAATCAGACCAGTTGTAACACATGCAAGTGAAACTTGGACCCTTACAAAAAACAGCAGAAAACCTATGGAGAGGAAAGTTCTGAGGAAAATATATGGACCAACAAAGGATGAATATGGATGGAGAATACGAACAAACCATGAATTGAACAGTCTATATCAGGATCCCACGATAGTAGCAGAAATAAAAAAAAGGGCAGGCTACGACGGGCGGGACACTTAGAGAGAATGCCAAATGACAGAAGAGAGAAGAGGGTGCACCACCAAAACCCCAGAGGGAAACCGCTCAAAGGCAGACCTAGGATTTGATGGATGGATGATATCGGCAAAGATCTACAGCAGCTGGGAATCCATGGAAGCATGGAAGCATCAGTTAGGTCGAGTGGAAGGAAGTGATAAGGCAGGCCAAAGCCCTACATGGGCTGCAGCGCCACGTGGATAGGATGGATTGTGAATGGCCATGTTAAAATTAGTCACTGTTTGAACAGCATCGTCTCGATTATTCAGTATAACTAAATATAACGGTGATAGTTTAAACAATATTTATCCTTACTTTCATTTGTATTTGAAAATGTGTCTAAGTAAGGATACGTGCTTTTACAATGTTTTTTTTTATAACAATGTATTTCGCAGTCCGGTCGCCGACCGACTAAAATCCGGACTGACCGTTGAGCCAGAGTTCTACGACTGCGTCACCATTTACTTCAGCGACATTGTCGGCTTCACGACCATCTGCTCGGAGCTGAAGCCTGTCCAGATCATCAACCTGCTGAACGACCTGTACTCGTGTTTCGATGGGATTATCGGCCACTACGAGGTCTACAAGGTGAGGTGATGCATCTTTCTCAGCTTTGATATTCTTTTCCTAGTGATTTATCCAATTTTACAACTCGTGTTCCAATACTCGATAAACTAAACCAAAAATGATGGCTTAAGGAGAAAAAACAAAAAATTACATATGCCATACATTTTCTCACTTTTATTGTATCGCTTCTCTGATTATTATTTATAGCCTCCTTTTTAACTACTTCGTTATTCTTAGATTTGTGTGTCTTTAAATTGAGCACCGCATATATTGGACTTAAAGGCAGCTGAAACAAATGTTAAATTTCAATCAAGTTTTTTTTTGGGTAACAGAATGAAAGGGTTACACAAAAATAAGAAAGGGAAGAAAGAAAAATATAAGCTACCCAGATGGAGTGAATAAAAACTCGGAAAAGAAGAATATTAAAATGGGCTTAAATAGTTACATATTTTAAATAAAACACACATACATCCAACACATCCAACGAGAAGTCGTAGTCAGATATCGGAATACGGGTTCTGATGTTACATTTGTGTACTTGGCGCTTAATTTCAATGTTAATGTGAAGGCTGTTGAAGGAAGACTTTTTTTTCTCTAATACAATCACGGGAAACGCCGGGTACATTAGCTAGTTTGAAATAAAACACAGATACATTCAACACATTCAGTGAGATGTCGATCTCGCCACCTGTAGGTAGAAACTATCGGTGATGCCTACATGGTCGTCTCGGGACTGCCCAATAGGAACGGCAACGAGCACGCGCGTCAGATTGCCCGGATGTCCCTGGCCCTACTGAATGCCGTATCAACGTTTACACCCATCGAAACATCGGAGGACCGGCTCAAGCTGAGGATCGGGCTCCATTCAGGTTTGTGGCGTAGGAAATATGGCATGGAAGTGCACTGCATTTGCTATTGATGCAACGCCGTATCATCGGGTGCCAAATCAATCAACCTTTGAAAACCAAGTTGTTCGTACAAATCCTTTATAATATGTAAAAATCGAGCAATGGGGCTGGGGAGCTTAAAATTTGCCAAAAGACGCAAACAAGTAACACACTTTATAAGAATCCCAGATTGTCATCCCCCAACCTAAGGCTCGCAACAGCACATGTTTTTGTTTTATTTTGTGCAATCCGGGTCACGTTATTTCCTTCATCTTCCCATTGAAAAAAGGGGAACAAACTGATAGATGTGCGTCTGGGCTTGAAAATTTGAGGGAATGTTTTGTTATCGGCAAAACTCTATATGCCAAGTTTCAGCTCGATAGGTTGGCGAGTAGTGGTTCAAGATTTTGTAACAGCACTTAATGTGTTGTTGTTTTTTTTTTGTGTGGGCATCTTTAGCGACAAGTTCCATTGGAAACATAGAGAATGAAATGAGAATGGCTGATTTAAGAAGGTCATGGTTGCAAGCGACCGAGTGAATTCACACAAACTTTGAAAGTTGTGCCAAAAATAAATTTAAAATGTAGGAAATTTATTAACGGAAATTGTTAAGCGGTGCAATGGATGTGGACCAATCCATCGCAAGTAACGCCACGTGACATTCCCCAGGTCCAGTGTGTGCCGGCGTTGTCGGTCTGAAGATGCCTCGCTATTGTTTGTTTGGAGACGCTGTCAACACGGCCTCAAGGATGGAGTCTAATGGAGTAGGTGAGATGTCATGTGACATAGTGGAGTAGGTGAGATGTCATGTGACATAGTGGAGTAGGTGAGATGTCATGTCTAATGGAGTAGGTGAGATGTCATGTGACATAGGGTAGTAGGTGAGATGTCATGTCTAATGGAGCAGGTGAGATGTCATGTGACATAGGGTAGTAGGTGAGATGTCATGTCTAATGGAGTAGGTGAGATTTCATGTGACATAATGGAATAGGTGAGGTGTCATGCCATACCGTCAAGTGTTCCAATAAATATACTTCAAGGTTGGAGTATTGTCCACGCCTGCACGTGAACCACACCAAGTTTCACATCACGTCCAAGTCCGTCAGTGTTGCTATGTGTTGAAGAGTCCCCTTGTATTTGTATGTACTTCTCTTAAATATGGCATGCAATCAAGTGCTGTTGTGAATGGTCGCCACTGCCCTGAACAGCCATTTTACGTGTCTTAGGTTGCCCCTTAATTTTCAAGCCCATGTGTTACAATACAATTCTATTTTCAGAACTGAAGATTCACATGAGTAGCAGCACTGCGGATATTCTGAAAACTTTTGGAAAATTCATCTACACGCGCCGTGGAGCTGTCGATATTAAGGTAATCACAATTTTGAAACAATTCTTTCTAAATCATTTATCAACAAGTACAGATATAATTTTTAAAAAAATAAGACAACAATCGATTATAGATCAGTTGTTTTTGGGAATAATCCACAAAGACACTAGGAATGACAGTGAACCCTGGGAGATTAAACCACATTCAGATTAAGAAAATCTACACTTTTATTTCCCGCCGCTCATGGATATTTTTTTTTTGACTATTTCCACATTTAATGTTTTTTTAAAGGTACTGTTTTATCTGATTTCACATTAAATTGAGTTATTGGATTCAAGAAATATTTTAAAGATAGACCTAAAGAACGATAACAATTTAAGGTCATTGTCATAGATCCCATATTGCCAACTCACGTTGACGTGATTCACAGAAAAACGAGAAAAACGGGCCAACAGGTTAGACACGGATATATTTTTTGAGTTGATCAGCCTTCACAGTAAATCGGATGGCAAAATTCTGTTACACAATGTTTTAAGAAAATAAGCATTATACAATCCGTATAGGAATTTTAGAGAATATTATTTCGAAAACTGCATTGTTTTTTTTTTATATTTTAAAAATTATATTTTTAAACACATAGTAAAGGCATCGTGTATTATTTTGTATTTTGATATTTAACCCACAGGGTAAAGGCATCATGGAAACGTATTGGCTGTTGGGTGAAGAGGATTGATATGGGACGCACGGGAAAAAATCAAGAACGTACGAAACTCCCCCCCCCCAATGGATTTATGTGAAACAGTCATGGGGGGAAAGGAAGTTCAATCGTGACCCATCAACGGTGGTGACCTAACGCAGGACAACGTGTTGAGGAGGAATTATGTTTGTGTAACACAATATGGGCTGAAACAGATCAATGCAGAGCCCTACTGTGTGACACGGTCGTTTCAAAACGCCAACTGCTCACGTCTGATGCCCGACCTCAACTGCTCTGCCCAAGTTAAAATTGTGCATGGTGATTTCTATTCTGGTGTTGCCCAACAATTCTTTTTTTAATTTTTTTTTTTACAAAATCAGCTTTAAGTTGCCTAAATTGACCAAAGATCAAAACATGGTTGCTATTAATGATTTGTTTCTTTAGTGTGTTTAAGGTTCATGTTTTGGAATGTTTGATTTGTTTGCGTCACGTGCCTTTTGGCGTCTAGATTAATTAATAAACTTTGTTGCTTTATGTTGTTTTTTTTGTTGTTGTTTTTTTTAAGATGACGTGTTGAAAGCTTAGTGAACCTAGACAGCAAATGTCTGAATAAAAATTATGTAAGCCGTTCCTTCACCGTCCGTGTCAAGATCTGAACTTAGTCAATGTTCATCTCGAATACCTGAGGGGACTTTTCTTACGATGGTAGTTAAGCTTTGTGAATCTCATTCCATCGGAACGTCCTTTAAACCACTCCTACAAACAAACGGTTTCGTTTAATGTATTCTTTCGAGGAATGTTGTTTTTTTTAAAGCCTTTATATCAACTTCATCTTTGTTCGTGGGTAGCTGGGTGCCTTCATGGTGGACTGGCTGGCTAGTAAAATCTTTCGGACGGCTAACTGACACACTCCCCGTCAAAGTATCGAGCTGAAACTTGGCACATGACGTCCAGTACCGACCCAAAAAATCCAGTTTTCCCCTTTTTTCGAGGTGTACATGAAGAAAAATTCTAGATAAATGCGCTAAATGAGATTCTTTAAAAAGAAATATCGCAAATGCGTATATTTTCTTTTGTTTGTCTAAAATCAAACACAAAGGTACCGCCAGTCATAAATTATGGGACCACCAGGCACAAACTATGGGACCACAAGACACATACTATGGGAACACAAGACAAAAACTATAGGACCACCAGACGCAAACTATGGGACCGCCATACACATCTTATGAGACCGTCACACACTGGGTTTGGATTTCTATTTAACTAATTATATCAAAATACAATAAACTTTGAAGGGAGTCGAGGAATCGCCGAACACGTTTTTGAGTCTTTATAAAACAATTTCAATCTTGACAGCATTAGACATAAAATTCATGAAAATTATTTGGAACTTTAAAATTTTTAAAAAATCTGGTTGTGATATGTTTTTATTAAATGGAATTAACATTATTAGAAGGCCTACTTTTTCAATGGGTAGCAATAGCGGGTTACTTTGCTTCTATGTGCTTGTGGTAGGCTCTTGACAGCTCTTGACAGCTCTTGACAGCTCTTGACAGCTCTTGACAGCTTGACAAAGATACTAAGATTAATAATTCGTTGCTGTTAATAATACTAGAGCAACAGTTAGCTGCATTGTGAGGGGGAAAAAGAAATACATTTTTTTCTGACCGTTTGTAGAAGATTTCTCAGGAAACGTTGAATGTAATTACGATTGGCCGGGATCCCGGAGTAGAAACCCTGGGAACGTCAGATGGAGCTTGTTGCCAAAATACCAAACCAGTGCGTCTGATGGAGCTTGTTACCAAAGTATTAACCAGTGCGTCAGATGGAGCTTGTTGCCAAAGTACCAAACCAGTGCGTCAGATGGAGCTTGTTACCAAAATACTAGCCTGTGCGTCAGATGGAGCTTGTTGCCAAAGTACTAGCCTGTGCTTCAGATGGAGCTTGTTGCCAAAGTACTAGCCTGTGCGTCAGATGGAGCTTGTTGCCAAAGTACTAAACCAGTGCGTCCAACGGAGCTTGTTGCCAAAGTATTACCCAGTGCATCAGATGGAGCTTGTTG